GTAAGTGTCTGTGTGAAAAAATGTAGATGGGTATACGGAACATATGACGAAGAGAATGATATTTACCGTATTATTTCGTAATGCATCTGCTAAACGCTGTGCTTCAACATTGCCGATTTCATTGCGCTTGAGATCTAATGTGGTAAGTGTCTTTATGAAAAGTATAGATAAGTTTATTGAACAGATACAGACGGATGAGTAGTTACCGTATTATTTTAGGAGACGTTAGTCAAATCTTCTGAAGAAGGATGACGGTAAAAAGTGGGGGTTCTCTTTTTTTACAAATCTGCACTTGCGCGAGTTGGATCATTGAGGAAAACATTATGGGGGTGAAGGAGTTAATCTGGCCACTGCGGATGAAATTTATAATCTGATATTGCTCGATGTATTCGCTTATTCTTGCTGAATGATTGTTCAGTAACATTCAATTAATCAAGTCAAATCGGAGAAGCTTCTATTATGTTACACGTCAACGAATTATTCTGTATTGTTATTGAAAACTGAGATAGTATAATATAGATGTTGAATTTACTGCACTAGTAGACGAGGTTTTATTCTGATATTTAGCTATGAGAGAAGTATTTACAGTTCAATAGTTCTTCAGTAAATTTAGTCGTACATCTGCAAAATATTGTCTCATGCTTCTTTCTGGTGATTACTTGCTCGTAAGGAGATATACATATGATTAAGAATATGAACAGTTAATAAAATTGTAGGAGTTCAAGAGATAGGAATATATGGAATTAAAACTTTCGGCGAAAGTTGATGGGTTCGAAACAAATTCTAAGAAATTCTAGAAAATGTGGCAGTTACAGTAACTTAAGAAATATAATTGCGTTCACATTATTTGTTGTGACTATTACGTTCTTCGAGTCACGCTGACGTTATCTGTTGTGCCCTCAGCTTTGAGCTAACCGAATTCGATATGATTCTGTTCCCTAGATTCCTACAAGATTTTGCCGGATGGTCAGATCTTATAAGATGTCGTGTAAAACGTCATAAGTTCTGTTCATCTGAGCTCATTAGTTTCTCACTCTCATCTACTCTATCATCTTATCAATATCTCTTGAATTTCTTCACTACTTTGAGTCTTAAGATGGTATAAGCCTAAGTTATTAATGTCTCTTAAATTTTTTGCGTTTTTTCAATTTTCTTTCGGTAGCCAGTTTTTAGATCACGATACTGTTGTTCGTAGCTGTGGAAATGTTTAAGTGTTATCACATTTCTCTGTTCTGGCATCTGCCGCTAATGAAATCGAAGTACAGCCTGTCTAGAGTAATATTTGTTCATATCAAATGAAAAAAACGAGTAGTATGTAAAACAGAGACAGGATACTTAGTAAAATACTTGCTACTTTTCGTACTTTGTACTTAAAAACCTCAGTAAAAGTGAAAACGTTTTAATACAAATAAATGTACTTTAACAGTTTCTTCAAAATAAGTATTTCTATGCTGACGCTATTACTTTATTTGTATTCTGCAGTATTTTTTATTTTTTATTTTTTATTTTAGATCGCTCCCACATGAGCAGGTAATTTATGAATAGTTAGTGGGTACGTTTTTTCGATGGAAAATCATTATTTTACTTTAGAAGTAATATTCAAGAGACTTTCATAGTACGATCCTTGTGGTAGATGTATAAACCGAGAGAACGGTTACGATTCATTGGCACACGATATTTATCTTGTCCTTAATACACGTTACATGATCGCAGTTTTTATTATTACGTAATGTGTAAGGTTAATTCAGATGTCATGCGCTGTTTTACTGGTGAATAGACTTATACTACAAAACTTCGACACCCTCTTCATTCAAATTAAGATTCCACAATACAATGGAAGATACTATTCATCTCGAAGAAGACAATATCGCTGCTGCTGATGGTAAGATATTAGGAGGAGTCCAGGCCCTTGTACACTTTGACTTGAGCACCTCTGCTGATGTAGCGAAGCTAGTAAGAAGAGGAAGAGCAAGATAGTGGTACAAGGGTACGAGTGGAAAAGAGAACGCGCGTCGATCCTCCGACGAGACCATCATCAGATCGCCGAAGGGTAAGTATAGCGAGACAAGTAACATGATTGGCCACCAAAGTGGTATCAAATGCAGCGGCAAAAAGGGTACCATACCGATCACCAAACAACACAACACCGGTGGTTAATATAATGCCAGCACTATCAGATAACATTAATGATGGAGCTGAAACAGCTAATGGAGTTGGTGGGTGAGCCTGGGGATTCATTTAACTTTTTTGATGACCTCGACTGACGATGTTTCGTTTATTTTTTTTTGTATTTTTTTAATGTAAAAATAAAAACAAAAGAGAAGAACAAATATCTATTTTTGTGCTTTACTGACAGACAAAAGTTTAATAATATCTTACTAATGTTGTGTATCTAGGTGTTATTTAAGACTATGTTAACATTGACTTATGCTCCAAAAATAAAACTATTTAGCATGCGTACCTAAAGTACTAGTACTTAAGTATAGTTGTACTTTTTATTGATACTAAGTACAAAATACTTGAGTAAAAATTTACTAAGTAAAGTACAATGTAAATGAAGCTAGTAGAAAGTACTTATACTTGTAGTCGGCCAATCTCTGATGTAAAATAATACTAGATCTCTTCTGACTGCAAAACTAATCAGATGAGGGATAACTGATCTATTTCACCTACAACTCCTGTGAGACTTTTAGTCTCTACTAAGAAGGCGCTCACAACGCGAAAAACATATGAATAATAGTCTAGATATACAGGTAAGAGCAATTTCTACTTTCCTTATGCTTCTAAATATTGCACATGAATGAGTAAAAACTATGTGGAAGCAGTGGAGTGTTCAAAAGAAAAGATTGTTTTTGTGTATATTTTCATATTTCTTTCCTAATGCTTCGATGCTATATATAAACTATTTGAGTAGATTAATGTTTGATGAATTAATATGCTTCGTCATTATTTTATTCACGCATTTTCTCAGAGATATAAGCTGTAAGAGTGGAAAGTAATTCGATGATAGCAGAAAGATAGATAATCATGATTAAAAAATTTTTTACTTGGTATCGAAAGTAACTGTCGAGGATTGAATTGAAACGTTGACATACATTTTGCATTGAGCACAGCATTGTGAAACCAGTCTGATGATCCAGAATTCGGTAGACAAGTTCTACCGGTAATGTAAGAAACGTAGCAGGCATTTTATTCGACATTGGTTAAAACTATTTCAATGGCTTTGTGTGATGTTTTATGTTAGTAGAAAGATATATATTGTTGCTTTGTTTCTTTTATTTTACATGAGTTTATATTTGTGATATGTTATCAATTTCTCAATGTGATGAAATTACTCATTTGCAGAAAGACAATGCAAAATAGTGACGACAAAGGCTACACTGAGATAAGGAATAAAATTTATTTATTATTTGATTACGTTCTAGTAATAAAATGTATGTGTGGATATGGGTGTGAAGTGGGGTGTGGATGTGCAGTGGGTATTCTACTTTATTCATGTGACACTCACATCTTCAGTGAATGTTCAAAATATAAAGTTATTTTTTAGCGTTCGTCGTCGCCATTGTTGGTTCAATCGTAGCGTGTCTTTGTCTTGAACAAATTATATTTTTTAATTCTTTTCGAAAGATCTTTCCAGTCAGTGTAAATAAATAAAATGATGTTGATGTATTCATCAAAGCTAATAAAACTACAAAAGTAGCAAAGAAACTTTCGATTAGTTTGGATTGTTGACTTTTCACTTGATTCAATGTGATTTCTGAATAAAGTTTTTGAATTGATATTGGTAGTGTAAGTATGGCTGTACTAATAACTTGAATAAGAAGCATCGTGGTTAACTGTCGATCTTTAACACTTGTCTGTGGTCGTAAATGTCCAGTAGTACGAACATTTCGAATTGTCAACCAACCAAATATGAACATTAATATTGGTGGTAGTAAACTAAAAGTTATAAGTAAATTATAATCATTCCACACACTACAAAATCTTGATACTGTAGAACAATTAGCTGCTTGAATGGCTCCATAAAAACAGAAATTCATTTGAAAATAATCAAGAAAAACAAGAGTTGATATGATTAAAACAACACGACGAGCTACTTTCACTTGACTAAATGATCGTATATGAACAGTTGCAGCACTTGATGCATAACGATCAGCACATGCACCAACTATAAACCATGCTGAAGAAGCTAAGCCAATATAAGTTAAGAATGTTTTTATTTTACAATATAAATCCAATTGAGATTCTGGAGGTTGAATATTAAATGTACCTAATAAACGTGGTAGACAGCCAAAATATATTGCAAAGAAATTTGCAATACTTCATGAAAGAAAATAGATTGAACAAGAATTTTGACTAAGTTTTCGACGTGTAAATATTAAACAATTAAGAATATTACCAATTGTACCAATTACAATTGTTGTTAAAGGCATATAACGAAGAAGTTGTCCTTGAACTATTTGAATTTCAGTTTGTGCACTCATATTTATACAAAGATTATGTTAAAGTTAGAAAAGTAAACCTATGATATATATATATATAACATGAATGGTTGCTTTAAGAAAATATAATTAACAAATGTATTACTCTTGACTTGTTGCATTTCCGATAGCTCTACAAAAATAGTTTACTATATTTCTCTGACTTCATGTCTACATAAGACATTTCTATTTTTAAGATCTAGTTCAAACATTATATTAATATGAATCTTCATAATGTATCAAAAATACAGAAAACCTGAGGTATACTCATCTTTTTGATATACTATTTCCTAAAGTAATAGACAACTGCGTTACAATTTTACTATTTCTTATTAGAATTTTAAACATAGGTGTTAATCATGAATATGCTTATTACAATTTTAGGAAATTAAGAAATTTCCCTTCTAAATTTAGGGTTCTCCGGTATTTAAATCAATTATATCTGAATATTTCAATCAATGTTCATTTAATATAGTATTTATATACACAAAATTTGACGACAATAAAATTGATACAATGTATTTTTGTAAGATAAATTTAGGCTAAATTATTGGAATAGTATTAGTTCAATGGTATATTTGATTATTTAAAATTTGATAAAAAAATTCTATCTGATATTAAATTATTTATTTATTAAATTTATAAATTAATTGAAAATAATCTATATTAGACATATACAGGATAAGCTTTTCTCTTACCCTTATCCTACCCTGCACATGTCTAATCTATATGATTCATATCATTTTTCATAATCATGAGAAAAATATAGGCTGATATTAAATGCGATTCATGATATTGATTTTAATAAAATCGAAAATGATCGATTACAGTATATTAATATTTGATTTTTTACTCATATATTCTTGAATCATCTTATGAGAAAAATATTCGAAATGAAATGTTAATTATTGTTTTTTACGCACAATCCTCACAATTATTCACAAAACTCTAAAACAACTGAAAAGAAATTTACGATTATGACATCATCAATAGTATATTTATTATTAGAAACAATACCGTGCCCGCCTAAGGCAAAATATTGCTATTTGACAATGTCCGGTCGGAAAGGATTAAATGCTTTAAAATCGTTGTTCAATAAGTTATATGTTTCAAACGTGATTTTATGTTATTCGGATGATCTAAAATTTATTATGGTCAACATCCTGTTCATCTTCATTCTATATCGTTTATGAGTTTGGTGACTTTATCAATTTTTTAAAGTTAGAAACGTGATGATCGATTTTTAAAAAGTAAATATAAATAAAACATAATATGTATTATATATTGTGTAAAGAATACATTTGTATAACTTCGATTAGTGAAAAAACGTTTTGATTTCATACATGATCATTTCGGACGTATTTTATACTAATTTAAATAATTGTTAATCTATTATTCAAATTATGTATATATATATGCATCTCATTGTATTGATAGTAAACCAATGTTCTATATAACATATTCGAGTTAAGAAGTATGACTCTACAATTTCATTTCTGAGAAAGAAAACTTGAATAAATCACCATGATTAATACACTCCATATGTCGATAATCAAATTCTGCTAGATCATATTTTTTATTCGTAAATTCATATACATTACACATTTTGCAGTATTTGATGTTCATTCTATTAGCTTTATTGTTTACTTACATAATCAAAAGCTTTATTATAAATAATTTTGCACTAACTAGAATTTGCTACCACAAACTGAGATATTGTTATTGTTAATGATGATGATGATGACATCATCTAGACAATACAATAGAATAGAAGAAAGAAAAAAAAAGATATATAAGTGAGTCACACTATTATGTAAGTACAATGGAAATTTAAGAAAAAGGAAGTATTTTATAGTTGATTAGATTTAACAAATTTACACTCTAAGAAGTTAATATCGACTAAATTGCCCAGTTTATTATTTTGAATAATATTTCTATGTAGTCAAACATGACTCATATATTTCTTCCCATTGAGTAGTCATATGTACTTCACATGACCTCATTTTTTTTATATTCGATGAGATTTATAAATATTTTTATTTTATTTACATTTAAACTTTTTATTACATATATATATAAAGCGTGTTAATTATCTCAAATAAATATGCTGAATATCAATGCTGACAAAAGAAAAAGAGAAAATACTACAGACGAAGATACATGAATATTTTTCAAATATATATAGATATATACAAAAAAATGACCATATTTCCAACATAGAGTCGTTTAAATCATCATTGAAGTACAAAAAAAGGAGAATTTTTTTGATTTAACCATAAGTTGATTCATCACTATAAGCGACATATAAAAATTTATCTTCATCAGCCTAAAAAAAAATATCAAATAGATTTCTACTAAAAAATCAATCCAATTCAAATACGAACATGTTCTTGATAAAGAGATCCCATAGTCATCGATGTACTTGGAATTGTCTATAAAAGAGAATGATGAAATATATATATGAATAAGATTTATTAATTCTTACATTGTTAACAAAGAAAAATAGTGCATCTTCTGGTCGAAGTTGTATTCGTTTACGAATTAAGAAATAAAATTGTCCAACCTAATTCAAAGATAAATTTATTGTTTAAAATAAAAAGAAATTTTACCGTTAAATCATTCGGTACTAAATATTTCTTTGATGGAAGATCAGATACACGTGAATTAGGTGCTCGTTCAACAATAACTGCACATCGATCTGGATATTCTCGACGAATACGTTCACCTAAACAAAAACAAAAAATTCTTTTTATTAAATAAAATAAATCATATGATATAATTACCTTCAGCTCGTCGACTTTCATAAGGATTATTTGCTTTAAATTCCCAACGCATTTTAATAAGAATTTAAACTTGATTTGTAAAGTAACTTTTTTAAAACTAGTATTTTATGTGTATAATACGACAATTTATTAGATAATGATATGTTTCTTAACAATGCGCACATCGAAGCACATGACACATACTTTGACACATTAATGCATTCTATATAAATTTCTATTGGTTGAAAATTTCTCGAATGGAATTCTTTGAACTGTTGTTTATTTGTCCTTCGTTTCGTTTGTGACATCAGAATATTGTTCGATATAGCACCGCCTCGTCTCTTAATCTAAAGGAAATGATGATCAATAATATGTAGGCGAGTCAAATAAATTTATTTCTCATTTAAGAACAATATTGTATGTATTCTATGGGATTGATTCTATTGTATTGCATGGCAAAGTCTTTATTATTTAATTTGAAGTAGACGAAAAAAGATCCTTGATAAGTATTTATTTGATAGAGAAGGTTCCGTTTTTTTTACATAATATAAAAGAAACATATGTTGTTATTGGGATATAAAAAGATTTTATAATATGTTTGGAAGAAAAAATTTTTATTCATTGATTGTCACTAGAAAATGTTCCTAAAGAACCATTGACGTATACGAGGATGTTTATTGATCCTTCGAGATTAACGAGAGAAAATCTATGTAACTCTGTCAAATACGCACAGCAGGCGAACTTGTCTACAATACTTTGGATCATTTATCTCTTTCGATGAATATTTGGAGAAAACAGTAGAGAATGCGATGAAGAAAAACGAGAAGAAAAAGAAAAAAGGCAAGTGTCTGTATGAATGAAACATTGTAAGATAGCCATAATGTTATGTCATCAATTGTTGATGGTCATTATTAATAAAAACAAATATTTTTCCTATGATTTATTTTAGATTGATTATTATTATTTCTTTCTAAATTATCAATTTCTTCTATTAATAATATTTCTATTTCAATTAAAATAATAAATTAAATATTTATCATTAAACAACATCAATACATTTGTATATCAATACAGTGTATATATATACATATTTATTAATTAATTTAACTTGATCATCACAATAATAACAAAATTATTGTGACGTGAAAGTTTGGCTCTTTTTTTTCTCTGAACAAAATTATTGAACAATTTCAAGGTAAGAAGTGGATATCAATTAATCATTTATGATAATAATAATAAAAAGAAAAAAGGAAAAGATCATGATTGACATGAAAAAAATCAAAGAAAACAAGAAGTAATTCTATCTTTCTTTTTCTTTGTCGTTCTTCATCTCAAGATACTCATACAACTAAACATCAATCGTTAGACCAATGCATAAGAAGTGCGTAGGCTTGTTTGCTTTCGGAGAAAAACGAGATATGTAGAAATAAGGTATCTGATGAAGAAAAAAAAAGACGACGAAGAAGAGGATATCATAAACAATGAGAAAAAAAAACTAGAATATTTATAAATATTTATTTCTTAGTTTATCTATTTATTAATCAATGACGGATTTTTATGAAATACTCGAAGTTCAAAAAACAGCGACTGAAGATGAAATCAAAAAATCGTAAGTAGATTTTTTCCTACAAAATACATTCCTATCAACAAATTTGTCTCTTCTTCTTTAGATATCGTCGATTAGCATTAAAAGTAAATATCTTAATACATATATAATAGATTTTTTGTATATAAATAATCTTTTATTTTTAGTGGCATCCAGATAAAAATCTCTCAAATAAAACACAAGCTGAAGAAAAATTTAAACTAATTTCTGAAGCTTATGAAGTATTATCTGATAGTAAGTTCTAGTTAGTGTCAGACATATAATATCATTTGTAATTTAATTGTAGAAGACAAACGTCGAAAATATGATCAATTGGGTAGAGCTGGTTTATCAAATAATCATGGAAATAGTGGATATTCACCAAATAATGGTTATTCTCGATTTTCGGAAGATTTTCTTAATCGTACATTTCATTTTCACAATCCGTTCGATATATTCGAACAATTTATGTCACATTTCGGCATGGAGGATGATTTCGGTAAGTTTATCGATTTTAAAATTATATGAAATTAGTATAAAATGAATATATCAATTTGATATCTATTATTTTCAACTCGATTTTTCAGGCAAATGGACGCGACATGTATTTCATTTTGGTGAGATAGAGAGAAGAAAACCCCGATTTGTCTTTTTATTTTTTGGAAATTTCCCTGAATGATATTTGAATTGCGCATGATATTAAATAATTGAAATGCCTAGAAAAGTTTTAAATAAATTCTTTGTTTTTATAGGGTTCGGTATGAATCCATTTGCTGATTTACATAGTCGTCATCATCATCTTCATCATCATCCTTTTGGACATCTCCGTCCAACATCATCATCATCCTCTTCATCATCATCACGACGTGATCCACATCGACAACAAATGGCTTTATTTGATAATGTTTTTTCTCCAATGAGAATGTCTCTATTCGATCATCATGATCCATTTGGACACCACGATTTTGGTGGACATCATGCTGGATCTATATCATCATTTAATGTTTCATTTGGGTCTGTTGTTTTTTT